ACCATACCTTTCCCAAGCGTTTCAAGGTGATATGGTCGTAAGACCCTTATACCACTCGCACATCCAAGCTTACTGTTATACTAGAACATTGCCTATTCTATTGTAATAGACTCTCCCACACATAATAATAAGTAGTAGTAGTAGTAGTAGCGATCGCCAGTTGGACTCAGTGGAGTTGAGTGAGTCAGTCGATGTCGGACATTGAAGTATCAACGACCACAACTAGATTGCTGCGTCATTAACTATTATTTTCAAGTTCCTAACGTTTTGTACGTCGAACCTAATTTAGAACGACTTAGTGAAATACAAGCCTCCACTGTAAAACTACTTTACAACACATTTGGCAACCGAGGATTCGAAACTCATACGGAGAAAGAAAAAAAAACTATCGTACGCCTTACAACACTTACAGAACCTGGTATTCCTAAGCGGTTACTCTTTCTAGAAACTGGCCAGGCTCGACGTTGGTGCTTCGACGTGATATAGCCGTAAGCACAAATTACCGATGGGAAGTCTTTTTAAAATTCGTTTAAAATATTTCATAATTCTTAGATAAAGAAAAGGGCTACATGTTCCCAGTATAGTTAACAATTTACTCACGACAGTATGACATTATATACACTACTATGGGCACGTGGCTTTCTGAATATCCGCTTTCTGACCATAAAACACGGGGTCAAATCTCACCACGGTCATTTTGTCAGAAAGGTGACTTCCTGTTGTTATCGGTCTGGAGGAGGCGATCCCAGTGTGCGGTACCCTTGGAAAATGGCTGAAAACCGTACCACGGGTTAACCCAAGCTTGTGAATGAAATTGGGTAGACGGAACCGTTGATGGTTCGTCGATGGCTATGAAATCACAAGTCACCGTGACTGAGCGTTCTGGCCTTATTCAAATTGTTGATCTCGCTAGATAACACGTTTCTCTCCGTGAAACTGTAAGCAAGGTCTGCTCGGCATGGTTTCACTATAAACCACAGGTGGGCTCTGTGGCAGTTGAACAAACACAAAATGCGCCAGAGCTAGCGTCTGCAGTAGGGATTAGCTAGCCGCCCTTTTGGACGGGTATCCTCGAATACGACTGGTTAGCCATTAACGAACATACTCGACTTATCCTATCTCATACAAAGCGGCGTAACATTCTGGTTTAGTTTACAGAATCGGGAGCATTGTTGCTTTATTGTCATAAAATGTCTGACATTTCTGATAGCTAAAGTTGGTATCAAGTTGGAACAAATTCAAATCTGCGAGCAGGTTATCAACGTCACCCCTCACAAATAGAACTGACATCATATGGGTAAAACAAAATTCAGATGGTGGTACGACACTCGAAATGTTTATCTAAAATTTAACCCGGGTATAATGTGTTCGCGACTCAAATGTCGGGAGACATATCTAAGTTGGCAAGTTTTTCTTTTTATTGATATCTTAAAATTGATATGACAACAAGATTATAGTTTTTCTTTTCTCTTTTTGTTGTATGGATTCTCATTCCAGGTTTTGAGGTTTATTTTTCAGCTTTTTCGACCAGATTTTAGCAGTTTCATTATATCCCATATAATCTGTCTTTAATGAATCATTCAAATTTAAGTGTTTGGACACTGAGAAAATGGTCTTCAGCGGGATTGGAGCATTGCAGTGAGTTGATAAAAAAAACAGATAATGTACTTTTCGCGATTCCGAGACGCTGTTGGTACTATTTCGTGTGAGCGCCCTTCAAGGAATCGGGGTAGGCCGGAAATTTATCTGGGAGGTGCGAAAGGTGCGATATTGCTGACAATTTAGAAGAAATGCCGGCAGATACAATCGCTCATAATTTTTGATGGCAAGAAAAAGAAATGACGAAATAAGAAAAACAAAGAAGAGTGCATTATAATCGTAGATATGTATCAGGAGCCATGGTAATAGGAGACGGTATCGTGGAAGAACGGATTATTTATCTTGAGAAACGAGCGAGATATTGCATAAAAACCAAAACAAAAATACAAAAAAAGAGAGAGAAAAAAAAAACAATAAAAAGAAGTGGATGTCTAAGGAACTGGACTCTAAAATTCCACAAGGGCATTTTCCTTGGTGCATTAAAAAAAAAAAAAACGGCAATTCCCATACGCCAGAACGCATGTCCCGAGATTATGACGAGCCTGGCTCCGGCGGGAAGAAAAATTGGATTTTTATCGCCAGCACTCTTTCTCGGTCAGCTGAAATTTCGGCTGACCATTGTCTGCGCTAATGTTTTATTTTCTCCCAAACGTCTGATTCGATGTCATCAAAATGTCTGTAATGTCGTAAAAAATATATATATATATATATATATATATATATATATATATATATATATATATATATATATATATATATATATATATGCTGGACATTAAATTGTAATTCTCTGGAATAAATTCTTTCTATTCACCGTTATTGTATTTTTTGATAGGTCTCTCCTTTTTTTTCCTTTTTCTTATTCTTTCTACCCCTTTTTTGTTTTTCTTTCTTTACTGCCATGTTTTCCATTTTTTCTTACCATTATGTTTTCTTTATTTCCCCTTCCAATTTTGTTTCCTTCCTTTCACAGACTGTTTCTTTCTTTCTTTTTTCTTCCTTCTTTCATATTTTTTATCATATTTTTATATTATTACCTCATCCTTCCACCCCTTCTTCATTTCCTTCTTTGATTCTTTCAATTTTCATTCCTTCTGTCTTTCAATTTTCATTCTTTCCTTCCCTATTTAATTCCTACTTAATAAGATTTTCTTTCCTCCTTTCTTCCATTTTTGTTTTGGAATTCCTTGCATCTGTTTTCCTTTCATTCATTCCTTCTCTCAGTTTTCCCTTCATTTAAGCTTTTCTACCCATTTTCAGGCTTTCTTTCCTTCCTGCTTTCATTCCTATTTTCATTTCGTCTTCCAGTCCTTTCTTCTATCCTTTCTTCCTACATTCAGCCTTTCGCTCATTCTGTTTTTCTATCTTTCGTTCTTTTTTACGATTTTCCTTCTTTGCACTTTCTTTAATTTTGTTCCTTCCAAATTTCAAGAATTTATTTTCATTTCTTTCTTCATTCCTTCCTTCATAGTTTCAGTTATTCGTTCTTTCCTTCCTTCCTTCCTCCCTTCCTTTATTCGTTAATTAATTCGACGTCATATTTTTAGTTACTTTTTTGCTTCTTTCTTTCCTTCTTGCTTTCATTTTATTTAATTCCTACCTTTTTTATTCTTTCTTTCTTTCATTTTCTTTTATTCCTAACTTCTTTCATTCCTTCTTTCTTTCATTTTCATTCATTCCTACATTCTTTAGTCCTTCTTTCTTTTATTTTCTTTCATTTCTACCCTTTTTCGTTTTTTCTTTCCTTCTTTTGTTCCTTCTTGTCTATCATTCGTTTTGCCCCCCCCCGTTCTTTGAATCGTCCTGGGTAAGACGATAAACTACGTTCAACAGCAAGGCCTCTGATCAGGAGGTTTTGAAGAACGTGGAACCACCTCTTAATTGCTGATTTTCCAAGGTTTACCCTGACCCGGGGTGGTAGCACCTGTTAGGGTCCCAGTTATGGGCAAATAGTTAACTCCGAAACTGAGGCAAACATCATTATTAAAGTGTAAAAATAGATTTTAATAGCAGAAATACTTTGTAAAAAATTATTACCAGAAATAAAATTTTTGAAGATAAAAAAAACTATTATCAGCAATACTTTTTTGAAAAAAAATATTACCAGCAATACATTTTTTAATATAACATTACTAGCTATACATTTTTGAGCAAAAAATATTACCAGAAATAGATTTTTGACAAAACTAAATATTACCAGGAAAAAAATTGTCGGCATTAAATAACCCATTGAGGTTGATAAGCCGTAAAACAAACCAAACCAAACTAAACCGTTCTTTGAAAAGGAGTAGATGTTTTATCCTTTGTACCCTGTTTAAGACTGTGTTTCCTGTTACTTTTAAAGTTTTTGGATTTTCTATCACGCTCTTCATTGTAGTGGCTTTGTCACCTTATGGTTAATTGATAAAAAAAATAACTAATGGATTACAGTTTTTGTTTTGAAGGCGTTAAAATTTACAAGCCGAACTTTGCCCCAATTAAGAATTTATTGGACGTCATATTCGAAATCAGCTGTCGGTTTTTCTTTAAGGACTTAATATTAACGACAAGAACAGTTGTGTAATTGGCATAAATACTGTTGATGAATACATTTTTCCATTCCAACAAAAACAAGATTTCGACCGAATCTGGCGGGTATCAAAATGGGGTAAATTTATTTTCTTCAAAATTCCTGATGCAGATTGATAAGGTCTTCGTTCCTACGAAAGTGAGCTGAGAAAAGGCTGACTATGAAATCTTATATGCATTCATTTCAATTCTTCTTATTAATAACTGAATTGTCCTTTCCAGCTAAACTGATATCGAACTGTTCAACGATGTCTTAAAATGTAAGTAGTAGCGAATTCTCTTGAAAATGGACACAATTTGTCATCGTGGTATCATCAAGTATCTGCAGAAAAAAGGGTTTATCCCAAAAGGACATTCGTGCTGACAGGGTTGGTACATTAAGGGAATGAAGCCCCAGCTTTATCAACAGTGCAAAAGTGGGAAGCTGGTTTTAGGAGTGGAAAGGAAAGACATTAATGTGACCCAAGACCTGGGCTTGTTCACCACATGGATGGTGTTGGATAACAGACGATTAGCATATCATATGAGAGAATTGAGAATATTCCGCACAATGAACTTGGCATGACAAAGGGTTATGCTACTCGTCTGACACCTAATCAAAAGAGCACCAGACTAATCATATAAAGGGAAAATCTGACATTGTTTAAGTGATATCCAACTGGTTTCATTAAACTTTTCTTAATGCAAGATGAGTTTTTGGTTCATCATCAGTGCATACTGTGGAAGCACCCCTTCTAACCTGCTCCACAGACGGCCAATGTCATTTGATCTGCATGGAAAGTGATCAATGCAAAAAAAGTCATTGTGTTTATTGACTATTTTCTAAAGGGCCACACCATCAATGGAGAGTACTATGCTCACCTGCTGAGGCAGTTACGAAAGACTATCAATCGCAAAGGTCCAGTAAAACTATGAAAGGTGCCTTTTTACATCGAGACAATAATCCAGCACACCAAACTTGATTTCAGTGGCTGATGTGCTTTGACTGTGGCTTTAAACTGGTTGAGCACCCTCCCTAATCTCCTGATTTGGCCACATCTGACTATTATCTGTTCTCCAACATGAAAAGACAGTTGGTTAGGAAACAGTTTTGTAGTGATAATGACATCGTATGTGCTGTTGTGGATATTTTTTGACAAAGAAGATAAAACCTTCTTTACCAATGAGTTTCAACCACTGCAACACCGATGAAAACAATGTATAGAACTCAAGTGGGGGGACTATGTTGAAAAATAACCCCCATTTGGTCACATTCCACGAAAGGATCTGGATCAATCTATATTAAACAAATTTTAAACAAAATAATTGTTCAGATGAGCTCATCGCTAGTATAAGTAGACTTCATGAATGTAAAGGTTTCACCAATTTACAGTACAGTTGGTTAGATGTAACCGTAAGTTCTATGCTAACAGTTTCCTCAGTATCTGTCTATATTTCTGAGATGAGCTATTATGTACACTATTTACATTATTCAGACTATTGTCCTCATCTTTGTCGCCATATTTATTACAACGTTTCGGCCTTTCAGTATCTGTCTATGTTTCTGAGATGAGCTATTATGTACACTATTTACATTATTCGGACTATTGTCCTCATCTTTGTCGCCATATTTATTACAGCGTTTCGGCCTTTCAGTATCTGTCTATATTTCTGAGATGAGGTATTATGTACATTATTTACATTATTCGGACTATTGTCCTCATCTTTGTCGCCATATTTATTACAACGTTTCGGCCTTTCAGTATCTGTCTATATTTCTGAGATGAGGTATTATGTACACTATTTACATTAATCGGGCCATTGTCCTCATCTTTGTCGCCATATTTATTACAAGGTTTCGACCGTTGTACGCACTGGCCTTCTTCAGGTGGTTGGAATGTCGAACTGAACCCTATATTTCAAACTCACTCAAACTGTTCTAGTTCTACGTGCCATGTTTTTAATGGATGTCAGTTATCAGTTATCTTCTGTTAATTCACCTCTCCAAGTTCTCCACTGCCTTAATCGGGTATTGAACTCACACTTTCATACCCAGATGTCCCCAAGGACACATAGCACATTGGATAAAGCCGTTGGTTAGATCCAGTGACAGGACGCAATCAGTTTCTTCTATCACACTTTTTCGCTTGTCGAACTCTTTCCAGCTCCATGGGTTTCAACAATTTTCAAAAATTTAAACGCGGTGTCAATCGATATCTACTGCCCTACTGATTAGTCTTCGCATTTTCTTGCTTCTTAGTTATATTTCTATTTCTTTTTTAAATTCTTCCACACCGAGTAACCCCTTTGTGTCTTAGTGGCTTTGATTTAAAAACTTTTATCAAAATAAAGTAAATTTATTTCCCTTCAAAAATACGCGGTCTGTAATTTCTTTAATCTGATAAAATATTTCTGTCTATATCTCTGAGATGAGGTATTAACATTACTTACATTATTTACATTATTCGGAGCGTTATCCGGAAGAGGCATGTCACGTGGATCTAGAACAATCTACCCCGGTGGACGAAATAAAGGGTCCGATCGAAATTCCAATCACCGGAAGAAGGTCGAAGCGTACAACGGCCGAAACGTTGTGAACATGGCGATGAGGATAACAGTGCGAATATTGTAAATAAAGTAAGGAATGATATATTTTTTAGACTATATAGAATTATGAAACGGGTATCGGAGTGAAAAAGAAAATATTCTCTTCATAATTCAAATTTATTTTTCCACAAAATTAATCGTTCACTGGCATATAGGATTTTTAAAAAAATGTAGCCATTTTTTTTTCGCTGTATTCGTAAATAACGTTTCCAAGTGTGTACCGTAATTCCATCGTCGGCATCTAATGAAATATGTTGGCCTTTAAACGATTCCTTCAAATTCGGGAACAACCTGAATTTGGGGCTGTATGCAGGGTGTGAACAACGATAAATTCCTGACTGCAATATAGCCTTGCGTTGCCGAGATGCAAAAAAATTAAATTACTCCTGTCAGGTTTTATTTTGTGGATACATTGATTGAGGGCTCACGAAGTTTCTCAATATGTCAGCAAATTAATTATCATTCCTTTTGGCGTAAATTCCGTGCGAATGACTCCCTTTTCGCTGTGTATACGTAATATGAACGTTTTTTGTTCAGGATAACAAAAAATGCGTTTTTATCAAAATTTAAAAAAATTGCTATCACTAAGAAAAGCAATGAAGTCTTTCTTGTTTAAACACATATTCAAAATTTATTTCCATTATTAGCATGATACAGAAAAAATATTTTATTTTTTTATCAGTAGCCCTAACAGCGATGCGCATGTGGTCTAATCGCTAAGTAACATTTTTTCAGACTATTTGCTCC